GTCGTGTATGCTTAAAATGGCATCAAACGTGGTATGTTGAAACAAAGGATTGATGTCCTAAGGTGTTTACATGTTGAAGTATGATGAATTGTTTAATTGAATGATGATATGAGATGATGATTAAAGTTGTCCCATGATGATAATTGATGAAGCTGATTAAATTGTAAGATGTTGACGTTTTAAGCTATATATTGATAGATGAAGTTGTATAATTTGTATGATACTATAGTTGATTAAGTTGTTAATTTGTTTAGCATGTGATATAGATACATATTTTTTTATTGAAATACATAAAAGTTAGAGCAAATTAAATGTTGTTGTTGAAAATAAAACATCTCATTGCGCAAATATAAATTGTAATACTCCAAGAGCTTAAGTTAAAATCTTAGAGTAAATAAGGTAACTTTTAAATGAGTAGTTCTTTTAAGTTATCTTTTCTAAATTTTATGTGGTATCTATATATGAAAAAGTGTGAAAAGATAATATAATATTGCACTGCAACAAATTATTTTGTCCTTTTTTTAATTTTACACAATCATAAGTAACATAAGAAATTAGTAATTAATTTTTTTTTGTGAAAAGAAGTGTGACATCTAATTTGTGATGATGGTTGTAATTAAATTATTGTGGAAAGAAATGGTTAAAGGGTTAATATACGTCATGTATACGTTGAGTTGCATGTGGATTTGCGTTTAATGGGTCAAAATATAGAGATGTATCAGCCTACGGATGTGACGGAAGGAAATGTAGGTCTTCGGATGCGTGAAATGAAATGAAACGAAACTGGCTAAGGCCAGGGCATTGATTGTTCCTTGCCTGTGGAAACCTAGCCTAATACGTATCAATTTAAATTACTTTTATTTTAATTTTGGTTTCTCTAACTATTTCATATTTTTATTAAATATACTTTTATCTTTGAAAGTTGAAACCATACCTTTGTTTTTAATATTAAAACACACATTAAATAATACACTCATTTAATACTTTATTTTTAATTTTTTCAAATAATTCTTTATTATGTTAAGATGTTTGATTCTTTATGCATATTTTAACAATATATTATTACTATGAAATAAAAACATCTTTATAGTATTAACAAAAATCAAATAATATGATTTGTTTTTTAACTTGCATGTTTTATTCTGCCGACAAAACTATTTTTTTTTAAATATTTTCTTGAGCTGATGGAATTGTCAGTTACACTACGTATCAGGAAACACAAAAACACTATATTATTAAAAAAAATATTAAAAAGACACAATTTTTCAAACAAGTTTATAGACTACGCAAAAGTTCGTACTACTAACAATGATTTATTTATTTATTTATTCTGGTAACGAGAAATTATTTTTTTCATCCAGAATATTAATATCAAATATCTGCTTTACAAAATATGCATTCTTCATCTTATATAATTCATTCTATATTCAAATACCAAAATTTGAAGCCTAAGCGGCATTTCACTTATTATATTATATTTATTTTTAATTTTATTTTTTCTCCCTAATTTTTTTGATCCAAGTATTTGGTTTCCAGGAAATATGAGTATCTCATTTTACATTTCTCATTTTTTCTGTGTACTTTCTTATAAAATACCACATATTGCATTTATTGGTTTTCTTAATTTGTCCTTTTAAGTATAAATCATATTTTAATAAAATAAGAAAATAGAAATGTTCATTAATATGTAAATTAAATACAGTGAAATATGAAGAAAAAAAAAGTTATAAAAAAGAAAAAGAATAATAATGGGTAAGGTTGGGATTTTGTGAGGTGATGCAGTGTTATTATTATGGGAAGAATGTGACCGATTCAAAGGCAAATGTCAGAAAACATTATGAGCACAGAGTTGAGTGACAAAAAGACGCAAGACTTCTGCAAAAGTACAAATCCCCCCCACCACCCCCACACGCAACACACGCCTCGCATTCTCTCTCTCTCTCTCTCTGCCACAAAAACTAATACTCCAATACTATTATTTCATATTTTTATTTTTCTATTATTACTCTAAATAAATATACATTAATTATTCTACCTTTTATATAAAAATAAACTA